TGAATCGAATGTCATTTAGTTCAGAGAATAGTGGGATGAGTAATAATAAAAATAATAATAGAAATCGCGAAAAATTTAAAAAGAGAAAAAATAGCCGAAAGAGTGATACAGATGTTGAATCAATTACTTTGCAAGAAAATGCTACAAAAACTTATCCATCGACTTTGAAAGCATCATTTTTAAGAAGAAAAATTCAGGAATACGAAGGTAATAATAAGAGCACACTTTAAAACTCAATAACATGATTGGGAATGCGATTTTTTATCGTTATCAGCTTATTTAGTACTTTGAAATATCATTGATGTAATACCGCGTCAGTTTAAGTCTTCGTAAAGAAATATTACAAATTATAACCAGGGCTTGAATGAATGCGTTCAAAAAGAAAACGCTCGAAAACCTCCTTAAAATTGTCAAAAATGACCAATTCGATTGAGATTATGTTCAAAACCTTTCCTCAAAATTAGCTTAAACTGATCGATATTTTTATTCAAATTAATTTAATTTACTGTCTGGCTAATCACAAAAATAATATGGAATGGAACATAATAATCATTGAAGTTTGTGTCTCATAAAATGATTTTAATGATAATGAAGATTTTATTGTGCGTTAAAATATTTAAAAAGTTCAATGAATTATTCTAATGATGAATAGAACAACGGATAAAAGAAGTATTTTATATCATTTTCCCCGAATTCTCAGAGAAATGGTCACAACTATGTAGTCACAATGTCAGGTTTGCCCATCTTTGCTTGAAATATTTAAAGCGTGAGTTTTTTAGACGGCTTAAATAAATACAGAAATCAATCTATATTTAAAACAGATGCAAATAAAATTTTGTATGTACGTAAATACAACAACACCTTTATTTGGATATTAGTCAGTGCGAAAAAATGACGCTAATTGATTGTAGAAGCTTCAGCTTAACCATCACAGTATTTTGAACGCGTGAAAAATAGTTAGGATCTTACTATTATTTCACATTTCGTAGTTTTGGGACGAACGCCAAGTAAAAATATCGAAAAATTAATTCTTTTTTCTTACGATTATTAAAGTTGGAAAATGTTTTAACAAATCTAGATACGCATATTTATTTGTTTTGAAAAGTTTTCCTTTATCGTAATTTGTAAGTAAATAAATCTGATAAATGTAAAATGTAAGAAACACAATCAATCCGCGCCCTTAAATGAGTAGGCTATATAAACTATTCAAACAAATGATGTAATAAAGTTAGATTTCTTCTTTGATGCAGCAAGAAAAGCTGTAATATGTTGTCATAGTTCGAAAGTTTAGTTTTCATTAGATAGAAAAGTGAAAATTGAAATTTAGTAAAGAATTAAAATTTTAAAGACCTTATTGACATTATAAAAATCATTTGTCATGCATATATATCCTTCATTAGTGTTTATTGTCAAACATTAACAGTTCTATCATCAAATGTCAAGATAAAATGTAAGAGCTTATAGAAAATATAAATACGAAGAAAAAAGAAGTCGTACGAGAGAAAAATTGTAGCTGAAAAAGAGAAATTCGTGAAGAAACGAAATAGAAGAACACTTAATTTTGGAAGACAGAAGAGAAAACAACGATGGCAACAGCTGCACATATTCAAGAGAGACTTGAAAATATCTCAAGGTGTTTGCATGCATTTACAAGTCAATTAACGCAACAAGTTCGAACCTTGACATCACGTAGTTTCAATAATTTACAACAGCAATGTAATGCATTTGCGGATTCATGTCGGGGTAGAAAAAACGAAAATCGCCCGGAAAATTGGTCGACGTCCACTTCAGAGAGAGCTTCACACCATAATGGATCAAGTAAGAATTATGAGACAAAAAAGGTTTATGGCGCATGTATGAACATACTTAAAAGAGGCTCAACCTTAACTAATTAACATTAATATTTTTGGGTATTTTACATGGAGGTTAGATAAAAAGAGGAAATTTATTTGTAATAGCGAAAAAATAAAGCAAGTTTAATATGGACACTCTTGCTAATTAATATGACCTTGTGTAGTTTACGGAAGTATGTAAACTAATGTTGTACTAACTAAAATTATGATTTTTTATAACTTCTAAAAGAACTAACAATACTAAAATATGTATTTGATTATTAACACACGTCTAATGAAAATCTTCGAACAAGAGGTAGGCCGACAAAAAACTGAGGTACTAGAAACAAATTCCAAGAAAAAGTAAGCAAATTCTTGGAAAATGAACAAAATTTTGAAAAATCATCTGACAAAAGTGGGGAAAAGTATTATGTTGGTCTACCCCTTGTCTACGAATGTTATTTGCGAGAGAGACTCTCATCTCCGTTTCACTCTCAATTTTTCTATGGGCTACACACGTTTGTTATTGTTTTGTCGCATTCTAGCAATTCCATTGATTTTCCACTCTCTTTGACCTTTAACAAAGTAATATAATTTTTTCTCGCTTTTCTCATTTTCATGGCAGTTTTTTTTGAGGTTTTGATATATCAATACGGAAAATTTACTAGCTTAATATAAAAATAGCATAATTAAAGATGTTCATCATAAAAGTGATAAAAAGAATTAGATAGAAGAAAATTAAATAATTCAACAAAATAAGTTATTTCTTTAACATTTTGGAAGTTATTATCATTCTATTGAATTTAATTCAATTCCTTTTTAAAAGTTTGATTTTTTTTTCATAAGTACTACGAAGTACATTCTTTGTCCTCAATTAAAGTTTAATTGAGTTTTTCAAAATCGAATACTTACTTCGGACATGCCCATTTAAATATTTAAAATCAAATCACTAACACGATGTTATGGTTTATGATACGTCAAATATTTATTTCGTGGCAATTATAAAATATTTAATACCTACGCTATTTAAATGAAGAACTCAGTGAACATTTATCACAATAATCTAAATACGTCACATTATTAAGAGAGAAATAAAAATCATGGCATTTCTATCGTCACTTTGTAAGGTCCTAAGAATAACAATATTAAACCGTAAGTGAAAGAAACTTTTTTCATTTTTGCAAAATAAGTTTCATTCTTTCGAGATTTTTTTAAGCTTTGGTCAAAGTTTCGAGCAGTTAAAATAACAAATATTGAAGTTAATTTTCTCTATTTTCTCATTCCTTTCTTGATGAAAAATCAATGAAAGTTTTTCCAAGAAATTCAAATTTCATCAGTATTAGTTCATTCGGATATTGTAATTAAGGACAAAGATAACCGATTAAACTTGATCATCCTTTGATGATGTTAATGATAATAATATAGATTTGAAAAATATCAAAATTCCGGAAATATACTGCTGATTTCGTTGCATTTACTTTCAAATTAATAAATAATTGACCACTTTTGTATATTTTTACACTTATGAAGTTAAGTGTATCGCTAGATATTTCTCTCATCAAATTCTCATTATATCAAGTGACATTTCACGTGAACGTATACAAATTGAGTTCGAAACATGTCATTTCTACACATTTGTTTTCCACATTTTCATTTTCATTGCTTCTTTCTCTTCTTCTTCTTCTTCTTCTTCTTCTACGCTTCATCATAACTATAAAATAAGAGAGTTTTATTCCCGATAATAAAAAAAACTCTCTCAACATTCTCAGGGACAAATCTTTCCTCGTTGATAATGAAATGACTTATTATTAAATTTCTTACTTTTTTGCGTTATTAAAGACGAAGACGATGCAACAACTTCTGGTAACAACATTGAAGATTCTGAGAAACGCGTCATTTTTATAAATCAGCAACAACCGCAAAAATACTGTAACAATCATATTTCAACAGCTAAATATAGGTAAGTATCATCGCCTACCCACTTTTAGATGACGAAAAAATAGAAATTAACAAAATTGTTTTTCTTTCCAGTGCGTTAAGCTTTATTCCATCATTCTTATTTGAACAATTCCGACGATACTCGAATTGCTTCTTCCTTTTCATCGCTCTCCTTCAACAGATACCTGATGTGTCGCCAACAGGTCGTTACACGACACTCGTGCCACTTATATTCATTTTAACAGTCAGCGCTCTCAAAGAAATTATAGAGGACTTTGTAAGTTACTAATGACTTATCTTCAAAAGTTGAAGTTTATAATGTCTTCTTCTCTTCATGAACTATAGAAACGACATAGAGCAGATGATGAAATCAATCATCGAGAAATTGAATGTCTTCAGAATGGACAATGGATGAATGTGATGTGGAAAAACTTAGCTGTTGGCGATATCGTGAAGATTCAAAACAATGATTTCTTTCCTGCTGATCTTGTTCAACTGTCATCGAGTGAACCTCAAGGAATATCCTTTATAGAAACATCAAATCTTGATGGAGAAACGAACTTAAAGATTCGTCAGGGAATTCCTGAAACATCGAAAATCGTTGAAGTTAAAGATTTAATCCAACTTCAAGGTACAATCGAGAGTGAGCCACCAAATCGTCATTTGTATGAATATAATGGAAATTTTAAGGAACTAGGAAAGCCAATGATGCCTCTCGGACCTGATCAATTATTATTGCGTGGTGCAATGCTTCGAAACACTTCGTGGGTTTTTGGAATTGTCGTGTACACAGGACATGACACAAAACTTATGAGAAATTCTACCTCAGCACCACTAAAGGTAAAATAACATTCATTCATTGATTCATTCTAATAATTTCTCAAATTTCATTTTATTTATAGAGATCGACAGTTGATAAGATGACGAACACTCAAATTCTTATGCTCTTCTTTATCTTGCTTGTTCTCTGTGTTACTAGTGCTGTATTTAATGAGATTTGGACTGTAAACTTCTTTGAAAATCATTGGTATTTAGGAATACAAAGTAAATATGGAATGACGATATTTTAAATTCTTACTATTTATTTTATGTAATTTTCACTTTCAGACATAACAAGAAATTTTGCTTACAATCTATTAACATTTATTATTCTATACAACAACTTAATTCCGATCTCATTGCAAGTTACTTTGGAGCTTGTGCGTTTTCTTCAAGCAATTTTCATAAATCTAGATATTGAAATGTATGATGCTGATTCAAACACCCCTGCAATGGCTCGTACCTCAAATTTAAATGAAGAACTTGGCATGGTGAATTATATCTTCAGTGACAAAACAGGAACGCTTACAAGAAATGTAATGGAATTTAAAAAATGTTCAATTGCCGGTCAAATCTATTCTCTTGACGATCATATAGAAGAAAATGGTGATATGTCATCAACATCGTTTACAACAGTTGATGGTCCGGCACCATCACGTCTCAGCAAAAGCATTTTGTCAAAGCAAACAAATTCTGATACAGCACGCGAGTTTATGACATTGATGGCAATTTGTCATACAGTGATTCCTGAGAATGGAGTCATTAATGACGATGTCGATGGAATTACAATCAATCCTGAAAACGATGACATTGTTTATCACGCTGCCAGCCCTGACGAACGTGCACTTGTTTATGGTGCAAAGAAATTTGGTTTCGTTTTTCATACGAGAACGCCAACATATGTGGAAATGAATGCTTTGGGTAACACTGAGAGATTTGAAATTCTGAATGTTCTTGAATTCACATCAACTAGAAAAAGAATGTCTATCATTGCAAGAAATGCACGTGGAGAAATAAAACTTTATTGCAAAGGTGCTGATACCGTGATTTTCGAGCGACTTGCTCCACATGGCCAGTATTATAAAGATATAACATTAAAACATCTTGAGGACTTTGCAAATGAAGGTCTTCGAACATTATGCTTTGCTGTTGTTGACGTTCCAGACGATGTTTATGATCAATGGAAAGAAACTTACCTCAAAGCTTCGACAGCTCTTCAAAGTCGTGAGAGAAAAGTTGAAGATGCTGCGAGTTTGATTGAAACAAATTTAACACTTCTTGGGGCAACAGCAATCGAAGATAAACTCCAAGAAGGTGTCCCCGAAACAATAGCAGCTTTACTTGAAGCTAAAATAAAGTTGTGGGTATTGACAGGTGACAAACAAGAGACAGCGATAAATATCGGATATTCATGTCGGCTTCTCCAACAAGGAATGGATTTAATTATAATGAATGAAGATAGTTTGGACAATACTCGAACAAGTATCACTGCACACACTAGTAACATGCTAGCAGCTTTCAATTCATCCAACGGCTCATCGACTTCAGATGGACAAATGAGAAAAGACGCAGCATTAATAATTGACGGAAAGACATTGAAGTATGCTTTGAGCTGTGAACTGAGAAGAGAATTTTATGAGCTCTGTGTCAATTGTAAGGCAGTTATTTGCTGTCGTGTGTCTCCAATTCAAAAAGCTGATTGCATTATGCTAGTCAGAGAATGTTCTAAATCAAAAAATGTGAGTACAATAATGGTAATCAAAACAATTTTTATTTATGTTTGTATATTTTTTTAGCTTTTAGATAGAAGGAATGATGTAGTAACTCTTGCTATTGGCGACGGAGCAAATGATGTTGCAATGATTCAACGTGCTCATGTTGGGGTTGGAATTTCCGGCGTTGAGGGATTACAAGCAGCATGTGCTTCTGATTATTCTATAGCACAATTTAGATTCCTACGAAAATTGTTGCTTGTACATGGTGCATGGAACTATTCAAGAATGTGCAAGCTTATTCTTTATAGCTTCTATAAAAATATTTGCTTATATGTCATTGAACTATGGTTTGCCATTTACTCAGGTGACTCATTAGTTTTTCTCATCTCATTCTTTAACTGATTTTTCTTTCTTTTACACTCTCTCAAAGGATGGTCTGGCCAGATTCTATTTGAACGTTGGACAATTGGATTATATAATGTTTTCTTCACTGCTTTGCCGCCCTTTGCTATTGGTATATTTGACAAAGTTTATTCCGCTGAAACACTTTACAGGTAGAATAAAAGAATTCAATTGATATATTTACATATTCTCATTTCAAGAAATGTGTCTTAAAATTGTACCTAGGAATCCAAGACTTTATGAACATTTTCAAAGTGCGAGGCTGTTTAACGTTAAAGTATTTTGGATTTGGATAAGCAATGCAATGATTCATTCAATCATTTTATACTGGATGTCAATGTTTGCATACGAGGGAGATGTCATTTGGAAAAATGGTCGTGAAGGTGGATATTTGGTTCTTGGAAACATGGTTTACACGGTAAATATTAACTAAATCTACAATTTTCCAGAATGAGAATTAATTTCACTCTTTTTTGATTCAGTATGTGGTTGTGACTGTTTGTCTTAAAGCTGGTTTAATAACAAATTCATGGACATGGCTTACTCATTGTTCAATATGGGGCTCAATCGCTCTCTGGTTCCTTTTCATGCTTATCTACAGGTAAAATAGAAAAAGTTTGTTAAATAAATAAATTGAAATTGATAAAATAATTTGTTATTTCAGTAATGTTTGGCCGATTATTAGGGTAGGAGCCGTATTTTCTGGAATGCAATATATGATCTTCACTACACCAGTCTTCTGGTTGGGATTAATTCTAATACCAGTTGCCTCATTGCTATTAGATGTCCTAGTCAAAGTGTAAGACATTTTTATCATTCAAATTTTCCAGTTTCCCATTCAAATATTTCTCAAGATAATTTTGGCTTCAATACCTTGACCATTTATTCACATTAATTAACAAAATTGGTTACTCTGATTCACCAGTCTTGTATGATTTGATCAGAAGAAAGATTAAAACATTTTTAAAGATGTAAATTATAATAATTGCAGAATACAAAATCGTCACAAAAGCAGCGCTACTCATCATAGTTTTGCATCTCGTTCGGCTCATTCAAAACATGAATCAAAAGCTTCGTAAGTTTCTTTAATTTTTTTAACATTATTGTTAAGGTTTAGAATTTTTATACCATGAAAGTCATTATACTTAGAAAGAAACTTAATTAAATATTATGACTTTCATCGTTTGTTTTCCTTTTTAACTTTTGTTAAATTCACTTATGTATTAAGTGTCTTTCCACATTAAGAAATTGGTTTCGTTTTTAAGATACTCTTCCTCGTTACAATAAGAAATTCTTAAAAACGAAATCATTACTTAATAAAAACAAAAGTGAGATATTTTTGATAAAATTTGTAATTTTTACAATCGCTTCTAAAATTATCAAAAAAAAAAATGTCAAGAAATAATAATTATTAGCACCCATGAAAAATCATAGGATTTAGACATCTAGATTGTCAGTCGTTGAGCACCATTTCTTTTAACATTTTGTGTGGTTAATGCTGTTATTGTGGCTTGCTGTAGTGTATGTAATTGTTATTATTTTATTGATTCGTACAAAATAAGCTTGAATTATGTTCTGATAGCTATACCTCAGTATTCCGATCATCCAATACACGGTTTACCTTCACCGAGTGGATTTAAAAACGCAAAGTTTAGTTTCGAGTGATCTCTTCATTGTGAAAATAAATCGAAGATCGAATAATTAAAACCAAATTTCCTTCTTTCTTTTCTGTTACGCTTTCAAATCGATTAATGTATCTATGACTTATGATTCAAAATTACCCAATTCATGTGTATGTAATTAAAATCGCTGCTGTAATATTATTCATCTCCTTCAATAACTTAATAACAGAACAACAGTTGGCATTATCAAAGAGATTTTTCGTTGGAATCACAAGGAATTTGAAGTAAACAATTTGTCATCGAGTCGCTTAAGGCGAAATCATTTATCGAGAAATTCTGTTGCACCAATAAACAATTCTGAACTTAATTTTATACACTCTGAAAGAACTTTAAAAATTAATGATATTGAAAACATTGATGACCGTGAATTAAAAGAGCACGAAATACACATTTGAAACTTCATTAAAATATCCAAAGAAAATTTATATTTCTTTCTTATTAATTGAAAATTTTTCTTATTCATATTCTAAATAGGTATCTAATTGAACATTTTATTTTATTTTTTAATAAGAAAAAAAAAGAGTTTAAAATGCTTAATAAATATTACAATAAGTTCAAATACCTTGATAAAATATATTTTAAGAATGCTGTTTGCATGACACTTTTACTTTTATTGTGTTTTTTTTCGTATGTTTTTAATTTCATTGAAGTCATGATGTATTTAAAATGTTTTCTACGTATTATATGATTTATGGCTGTGTTTGCATATGAAAATATTTATAACAATATATTCGATAACCACTCATTATTCTTGGTGTGTTTGAAAAATATTTTTAAAATTTCATTCCAAACCCAGGAATTTAAAAGCTTTTATAGTATTTGAAATACTTCAAATATCTAAAAAATCATATCTAAAGCTAAGAGTAATATTTTTTTTGTCGAATAAAATAATTAACAATGAGCTTTAACAAAGAACTTGTAATTTTTCTTAATTTTCTTTTTTGAAATTTTCATTCTTAAATTGGGAACTTTAGAATCAACAAGAAAAAAACTTTTTGTTTTTCATGCGAACAAACGATCAAAGCACTGAGATGATAATGATTTTAAGTTTGATATATCTAAGAAAACTTTAATATTCCTTTTAATATATAACGACTTTAAAATAAATAAAGATATATGCTTTAATAATTATGCACTAATTATATTGAGAAAAAAAACTAAAAACTGTTATGTAGTTAATAACCAATTTAAGTATTTGTGTCAAGATTATGTTTTTATTCAAGACTTGATTTGATTTCTGTTCTTGTAATACATATCTTCAATTGGCTTTTTTGCAACATCTTTGACTGAGTATAATATCAAAGTTTTTAGTTTCTTTATAAAAGATTAAGAATTTTGTTATCTAATTCAAATAAATATTTCTTTATATTTTACAAAATAACATAAATGTAAGATATTTACTTATTATTTATTTTAAAATTGAAGCTTTTATTATTTTAAGCTAATCTTTTTCTTTTCTCAATTTTTCTTTTCATTTGTCGAAAAAACAAAACATTTTTTTATAAAAATATTGTGCATTTCAAACAAAAATTTTCATCTTATTTAGAACTAAGCATGCACTTGGATCAATAATCAGGTGTAAGTAAAATTGAAAACTTTTCACTTATCTATTTTCACTACTCATTTTATGGCGTGAATTCAGCTAGAACATTTTATTCATTGAAATATAACATAAAATTTATTTGCATCTTCTACACCAAACATTTTTTATATTTATCAAATGTACGTAAAGTGGATAATTGTGTTATGCATGCAAACAAGTATGCAATTAGTGTTTCATTTTCTTTTAATTTTTCAGGATTTAGAGCTTATTACCTAACGTTATTTTTGTTCTAACTTTTAAGCAACTCAATTGCTTCATTCATACACAAACTCAATGAAGCTATACTTATACATAAATACTTTAGAATTTGATTGCAATTAGTGTTGATTTTAAGTTTTTGGTGCAATTGAACTCAAACTTGGGGAGCTTGGAAGTTGGATCAGCTATCCAAAAGTTTTGGTTATCCATCACCTACTTCTATTCGAAAACATACATACAATATCTCTAACGATTATAAAGCTTTTAAAAACATTCTGAAAAGTTAAACGTGTCATTTCATGATTATTTTGCTTAATTATTTAAATTGTTTCTCTGCGCTTTCAAGAGTATATTCCAACTCCAATCTGATCGTTGACTAAAGCTTTGAGAGAGATTAGATATGGAAAATTACACATTTTATCATAAATATTTTCCCCCAAATAAATAAATTTATTTCTCTTTTTAAATTTTATGAATAATGAGACAAAAAGATTACAGAATCGTTTTTTTTATTGTTCTTGTGGCTATTTGATCAATTATTTCTTTTTCCATTCTCGGAAAACAATTTTTTTTTCTGTTCATTGAATAAAAATAAATACAATGACAATAGATTAACAGAAACTGCCCGCCTTCTCGTAAGAACAAATGTAAGGCGAGTATTTGGTACTGGCGGCACAAGTAGGTCTCATTCAGCTGAGAAAAAGGAGATGGAACTGAAACGTAAGTAGTGGAGCGAAGTAAAATGCAATTTTTTGAAGTCTCCTCTATGTTGCTATTCAATATTTTAGTCAAAGATTTCAAATTTGTACATTTGTTCTGCCATATTCTTGCCTAACTGCAAAACAAAAATAATTTTTTTGAAATGATAAGTTGCAAATACCTAAATTTTATTTTAGTTGTTCATGTGTTCAATATTCATGACTTTACAACTCACAAACATCGACAATCACTTGAAAAAAATATGACAAGTCATGAATGTTCATATTTTTAACTTCCAAATTTTATTTTCCTGCATACCTTACTTAATCAGATGGATTCGCTTTTTCACAAGAGGAAGGCGGTGTGATAACACAATCGGAAGTTATAAGATGTTACGATTCAAACAAACCAAAACCTGAAGGTAATTAAGTCTTCATGGAGCACATTAGAGATATTAATAATAAAAAGATGGAGACGAACAATCGAGACAGACAGCAAAAAAAAAGTCATTTCCAAAAGATCAAGATTTAAAATAACAAATGAAACATTTTTTTTCTATTATATAAACAAACTAATAAGTTATTAAATGTTCTAAAATATATTTAACTTACATACATGTTCAAATTAAAATGTGTAATTTGGAATAAAATTATTATTACATAAATAAAGTCATCAAAGGTTAAAAGAAAAACTTATTTTTCATTGGGCTTTGATAATAAAAGAAGACAAATGAAAAATCCTCTATGATGTTTCTGTTTTATTAAATTTTCCAGTAAATAAACACAATTTGGTTTTGATTGAACATATTTACATCTAAATTGTTACAAGAGATTTTTTTATGTTTTCAAGGAGATTCTTTTACCAACATTTCAGCGTCAATGTTCTAAAACCATTAAATACATCTTTGGCATTAAATATCATTAAAATAACTTTTCTGAAAGCAATAAATAGATAATTTTTCCATTCTATTGATAGCCTTAGTTCTTAGTCACTTTTTGTTTTTCATTTCAAAATAATTTCAATTGAGGATTCCACAAAATTAAATTTTAAATATTCCTTCATAATATAATTAATGACAGCTTGTTGAATTACTTCAAGATTCGCTTTAGACTAGATTGTTTTAACATTAATCGTACTCCTAGCCACTAGCCTTGGCCATATAGTCATACAGTTGTTACTAACTTTAACCTTCTGTAGGAGTAGTCGAGCTTTAGTAAGTTATTATTTGTTTATCTTCTTGAAAAGACAGATTAAGTAGGTATTACGAGGATGTTGAGATGAAATGTTTGGAATAGAATTTCAGATTTGAAATTTTTATTAGTTTTCTTCAATCACCACAGATATTCATTTGTAAGGAGATTATCTTAAATATATTTTATTATTATTACTTTTATTATTATATTAACACTTTAAATAAATTTACTTTTATTAGAAAATTTCAGAACTTGATCTTCATAAATCAGTCACAGTTGTGAAATATATTTTTAATTTGCAATTGGGTTGAAACCAAAACTAGACATCTTTTTCACTGTTCATGAATCATGACTCTAAAAATATCTTAAAAACTTGCAGATTTCTTTTTTTTCTTTTTCTGATTACTTTTTTGCTACCATCATCAGAAAAAGGAATGGAGATTGCATGTCCAACTTAAGTGTAAGGATCTCTATTGGGGGTTGCCCTCTATGTCATTCACTATGTATCAATGTTCAATTTCAGTTGTAATGACATTATATACAAGAAACTTACTTGACAACAAGATTTTCAATGATTTTTTCGATTAATCTAACATAAATATTGCTACAAATACACTGTTGCAATTATTTTTCCATTATTTATAATTATATTGTTAATTTGAATAAGTTTATTACAATTATTTATCAGATACACAAAATATCAACTGTTCAATTTCTTAATAGATCTTTAAAAATTAGAAATTGTGCAAAATTTGTATGACTTCAAATGGAAGTCTTCTTTGACTCGAGAATTTTTAAAAATGCATTGATTGTTTTCTTTCTCGGCAATTTAAAATTCTTACTTAGATACATAGGAGACTATTTTTACGAAACTTTTTGTGTGAGATCAACCAGGTGAGTCTTGTAATATTTACAAAAGAAATATGTCCCTCAACTTAACTAAGCAAACGAAATAATAAAATATCAACAAAAATATTTGAATATATGGGAATTTTCATTTCACTGATAGAAATTAATGTTATTCATAAGGGGATAGTTTTTTGTAAAGTTCAAAGTTGTCCACCTGATGATTTGCGGCTGTGTGTGATTGTCATGCGTAGTGATGTGAATAGGAGCCCAGATGTGGGCTCACATGAGACGAAGTTACATGACTCATTGAATGTGGCGGATACAAATTTGTGGGACTTCCCCAATTGCTATATCCTAACGACGACGGAAAAATCGATGCTGCAAAGAGAAAAAGAAAAGGAAATTATAGTAACAACACAATAGTCTATCAATTATATTTTTTCAAATTTTTTATATAGATGTTTGAGAATACTTTTTTAACAAAGATTTAACTGCTAATATATTTGAGAAAACCGTCAATTCTATCCCAACAATAATTATAAAGTTTCATCTTCCCATATTTCAAATCAGTATTCTCATCAAGTTTAAATTTACGTACTAAAGTTAACAGAAAATTTATCTCAAGAAATAACAAACATTACATATAAGTAGGTATATAAATAAATATAAATATTAACCAATGAAAATATTTTTAAAGCCAATTGAAAATGGCACAGAAATGTAGAGAAAGAGAGAGAAGCTCAAATGCTTTGCTTTCCGACTAAATATAAAACCACCCCCACATTAAAAAAGGAGACAAAAGGGGCTCATGAAAGCAACGATAATGTTTGCTAGTGGGAGTGAGAAATAACATAGATAGCAGACTAATCTATGAAGAAAACAACAATGGAAGGTGTAGCGGAATGGAAGCGCAACGTTCATTATAAAATAAATGCTGTATCTAGGGGTACAATTGAAAATCGGAGAAAGAAATAGAAGGAAGAATTAGAGGACGGAGCAAGCGGAAAAAATGGGGAAACAAGCCAGGGAAGTTCATATTTCCGAGAGGACTTCCCTTTGAGTTCCGACCGTCGAAAATGGTACGCCGAACGGAAATCGCCAACACAATGATTTTACGACACACACAATTATCGGGCGTCAATCGCCAAAACTTCACTAGCCTGCGCTACAGCAGTGCCAAATATTTTAAGATGGAGGAATGGAAAAGATTGTCTGATTATCTACAAATGATTCATAAATTTAATTTTTATTGATTGTCCGCTAAACGCTATCGTCGGTAAAATATTGATTGTCTAGAACTTAAAGTGTTTGCCGTCGGAAGAGATGAACACTTACCCGAGGATGATGTCATACTGTGATGCGGCGACATAAAGGAACTTAACTTTGCAGCTCCATGATATGGTGACATAAATAAATCACTTTGATACTTGTACGAGGCATCTGTTGCTTGGGGCTGAGTTGCTGCTGCTAGACCAGCAAAGTCAAATTTATATGCGTAACGTTTTCCTGAAAAACATTATGAAAACGCAAAAATTGTCTTAATTCTATGCCTTTAATTACCAAAAAGAGAAATAAAATGGAAAATTACTTACCGTGAACCTTGGTCATTATGTTCTTATCGTAATAGTATCTGAAATAAACAATATGAAAGAAAAATTTAAGTTTTTCACAAAAATATATTTGTCGTTTATTTAATATAATGGAGGGTGAAATAATTCTTTTTTTTAAAGGCCAGAGAGCGAAAATATCTGTGAAAGATTTGTAAAAATAGTGAATAATTACGGATAATTACTTATAACAGCTATAAAGCAATAAATTTCTTTTACACAGATTTTCATTCTTATAAAAACATAATTATTAAAAAGTATGAGTTGAAGTTTCCAAAATATGTTTTATATGCTACAACATGTAATTCCTTTTGTATCATTAAAGTTTTCAATTTATGTTTTGATCGACAAATAAATGAAGTTTCTGCCCTACAAGAAAACTAAAAGGGAATGGATAAAATGAATGAAACATCAAATCATCAATTTCTTTCATTATTTTGTCATCAAAATTTTGCGACAACATAGCATATGACTGCTATCGTTCAAATATTAAACGTTTATTCGATAAACTGTTCAATTGATTTGATTACATTTCGATAAATGACTGAAATTTCATTACAACTTGAATGTCGAACATTTTTTTTGAGTTATTCAGTTTGTAATTTTAATATCAGCATTTCGTTAGGGATATAAGAATTTTTAAAAAATTACAAAATACTTTAAAATTATCATCGAAAAAGATGTTTCATGAATTAGCGAAACTATTTTTTATTGTCAATGCCAAAAGAGGATAAATAAATTGTGAAAAAAATATATGTACCAATCTTAATAGCTATTTATGAAAGCAGCTAACATCATTTTCCATGATTCATCAAGAACCAAAGCAAATCACAAAAGAATAAAAATTAAAATAAAATTTACGCACGGATTCTTCCGATTCACAAAGAAATTAATGTGAAAATTTTCTCTCGTTTTCTTTTCACTTGGTGAGTTAATGTTGCTATAATTTGTTTGAATTTTCAGAAAGCAAAGCAAGGGTAGTGAAAACAACTCCCTTCTTGACTCCCTTCATCTACGGTAATTTTCAACATAACCCTAAGCCTTAAACATAGAAATTAAATGAACTGCTGAATGTTTTCTTTTCTTCCTTGATATAGTGGGTTGAATTTGTGAATCACAATCTTCTTTCTTTTTCTATTTTTGGCAGTAAAGTGGGCATGAAAGAATATAAACTTCATGATAATTTTAGGAATAGAACATTTTAAGAATGATTTCTTCGTTCAAAAATTTGAGGGTTTTAAAGTTGTCACGTCATTTTATTATTTTATCTGAAGTTTGATTAGCTCCGTTTGGAAAAATATTACTCACCTTAATGCTCTACTTAGCTTATCATAGTTCATATTTGGTTTTGATTTTCTTTCTCCCCATCGTCTTGCCACTTCATCGGGATCAGTTAATTTAAACTCTCCGTTTGTACCCTCCCAAGTTATACAGCCTGCGTTTGCTGAATCGCTTAATAACTCTAACAAAAATTGCCACAACTGAATTTGGCCGGAACCTGAACACAAGAAAAATTGAAGTTTTATACAATTAGATATGTTTAGGATTTCATTCTTGTTTTTGTTTTTTTGTTTTGGGTGCGACGAATTTATCAAATTGTTTTTTATTTTACTTATTTGGAAATACAATTTTCTTATACAAATCAGAAAAATAAACACGAAAGTTATTGCATCGAAAAATGAGATAAAAACCTTTTCTGTTCCAATAAAATTCTGCAATGGAAGAAAAATTCGTTTAATTTAAGTATCGCGTGTTTAGAAATAATAACACTTTGCGTTTTCTTAAGAAGCAACATAAAAAAATGTACAAAACTCTTTTGCTACGCGATAAGTCATAGATTAACTGCCTTCAAACATTGCTTAAAAATTAGAGGAAATGAAGAATGAAAGTTAAATTTGATGAATATTTAGAGAAAGAGAGACAGAGAGAGAAATACAAATGATTCGGGCTCATAAGTCATCAAAGTTAATTATCTAAGCAATGAAGTACTTCTGCCAATAAAATTTGATTGAAATAAAATCTCGGACACTCTGGCCCTGAAGTCAAATTTATTGTTTTTTTAAAAGGCATATCTACACTATGAACGTATCGCCTTGCATAGCCAAAATTAAGAAGAAAGTAAAAACATAAATATTATGCAACTCATATTGAATAAACAGAAACTGATTGGAAATTGTTTCCCATAGCTTTTTGCTAACTCAGAAAACTGTCATCAATCATTGGAATAAACAGATAATCAAAACATATTCTCTCTGTCAGTCGAGTGGAAAAATGTGAAAATTATTGCCATAAACACTCGCACATTGTATCGAAAGTCAATCGTCAACACGACCCTTTTGCGCATCGTTTCTCTTCTATTCTGTCTCACGATGCATTAAGGCACTGTGAGTTTAGCAACGTTATTCCTAATTTTTATTGTTTAACAATACTTCTATTCAGACTAGTCGTAATTTAGCGATTACTTCGCTTGAGGGCGAACTATGTATATTCTTTCTTTTTATTACTGAATTGGCTTTTTGGGTTGAAAAATTAATAAATCATTTGGAATTCGATCGAGCGTTCGCTTAGAAATATCAAGATTTCCAGTTAAGGATAATCGCGTTCTAATTTATCGACAGGTCATATTTGGAACAAAAAAATCCTATTTAAAAATCTGAAATCGATAATGCTTTATGGTGTCTTCTTGTAAAAATAATAACAATTAATGTCTGCATATTGAAGAAGTTACCCAATTTAAATCGTTTGAAAATTGTTATTTTCTTAATTCCGATCGCCACTCCTTTGACGCCTCGCGGTGGAAAAATTTCGAATTTCTATTCACTTCCTACGTATTCATAGTAAATATTAAAAATCCTAGCATAGACTCGTGTATCGTGTTAAATTTATTCAGAAAATGACGACCCTACCATAAATTTAACATACATTCTCTTAACTCGCTATCAGGATTATTTTAGATAATAACTACTTGCAATAAAAAAAGAGATTTCAGCTTACAAATGATTCAAAAGGGTGCCGAAAACTAAAAAACTTCAACCCCTCAAATGATAAAACAATCAATGTGTTAAGTAAAGCGACGGTAAACAAGAGAAGGAAAGGTGAAAAGTTATTATGAAAAGTCAATCGAATATTAAATTTCTTAATGGGTCTACGATTGTTGGGTATTTTAAGCTCTATAGAAAGAAAGCGCAGACAGGCGTGACACGATATTTGACGTGAGCAAGCGTTCTCGTGATGCTGGCCACGTGTCGATTAAAACAACTCAACTGCAACTGTTCCATAATTATTATTGTTTAACTTTTTGTGTCTTTTCCGAACTTCTAATGGTAAAAATAAGTTTCTGATTTTCTGGAGGGTTCATGCGTCATGCTTGTTCATTTTTAAATCATTCTTACTCATTTAAGAAGTAAAAGACTATAAATTTATTTTAGTAAATTATTTTCATGTGAAATTTGCAATTCTAATGTCTTTGGTTGAAACTGACACATGTGCGATGCAAGTGATAACGATTTTTTATTTTTACTTCCACTGTTGAGAGAACCAGGTGTTTTGAATAAATTAAAACAAAAGTATTTTTCTTTTCTGTGCATGTTTGACATGCAAATTCTCGTTGTTTTTTTTTTGTTATTAACTTAAAAATAATTTAAATCAAACGTTTATGACACTTACCTGAACTCGCTAATCTGCTGCTTGTAGCTCCAAACATTTGATATGGATCTGAAAATGCAATGAAAAGAATTTTTTTAAGCTTATAACTATGATACACTCTGACGAAATTTGCAAAGACACCTTTGCATGAAATTTCGAAATAATGAAAGCTAATTAATGGAAAAAGTCCTAATATCACTCTTGCGTAACGCTACTTGAGATTATTATTCACCCTTCCGCTATTAGAAAATTTCTTATCAAAGACTTAAATCGCCACTTAGAATTTATTTTATTGCACCGCCGTAGCTTAATTTATATTTTTTGTTCGAGAATTACAAGCTACGCATTGATTTATTCCTTTTCATTTGAAGACAAAAACGTGTCATACAGTTATGGAAAACTATGAAATAAAAATTGAATGACTTATTTTTACCCACAAAGCATAGGGTGAAGAACGAAGGAAAATATCGAGTGAAATGTAAAGTTAACTAATGCTTATTAAGAGAAAATGTCTAGAACTTTGTTTAATTTAAGTAAAGAAGTGCAATTAACAAGGTAATTGCTTACTTTTTCAACATCAAAGAGAACAATATTTACTTGTAGCAAATACTCTTTTCTCAGAAAATTAAAGAATAGCAAAAATGGATGGAATTTTTCAGACGAGAGGTCTTCTTTTTAAAATTTCATTTTCATTTGCAAATTTTCAAGAACATTCTCAAGTAACTGAAACAAAATTGAAACTTTTGTGTCGACAAGTTTTTCCTTCGATTTTTCTGCCTTTTGTTTTATTATTGCCTTTTTATGTATAGCCGTTTCGGTCACGCCATTTGAATTTTAAGTTCTCATGCTTTTACGACACCGTCGCTGCGCTCAAGAAAGCAAAAAATGTGTCACTCAAACTTTTCTTTCTCCGCTTTCACACGACGTTGTAGCTATTAAACGAGTCCGTGACTTTTCTAGTAAGTTCCCCCTTTCTGCTAATATGAAACTTCCAAATGAGATTACAAAAGCTTCTGGTTCTCTCTGTGGCGTTCATGTACATAGTGGCCAGGCTATTGGGCAAAGAGTGGGGAAATCGAGGAAGGAAAAGAAAATTTCTAATGTGAATAAAACATGTCGTGGTGTAACCGGTTTGAATGTGATAAAATAACATGTTGTCGGGTGCTAGTAATCGGAAAAAGTTACTTAGAAAAAATTATATAGTATTAGTTATGGTAAAAATGCGAGATATTTCCTCCATTTTGTTAAAACAATAAATTTAAAATATTCAATGTGTAGACTTCTTTCCTTTTGCTTGTGTTTCTGGCAGCGGATACAACAATTTAATTTGTTTAATTAATTTTGGCATGAAAGCTGCGTGCTTGAAAAGAGTTTAACGGCGAATAACTATTGTAGTAATTCTGTGACAAAACGGATTGAGCTTTGCCGGTTCGGGAAAGCGGTCTGAAAATATTTGAATCCATAATAGAGTGAATAGTATCTTGGTGGGACGTGGTAGTTTCAAAGGCAGTAAATTGTTTCTTATACTAACAAGCCTAATAATTAAGATAAAAATGGTTATTCGAGAGTTCTATCGATAACCATACTTCTAATTATGTATGTATAATCAAATAATAGATTTTATACACATGTCGTCAAAATGTTTTCGTCGTCATTTGTGTGCTTCTTCAAATGTATGAAGGATTGAAGAATACTTGAAAACGTGCAAGCTAAGAGCGGGTATTTGAGAATTTATGACAAGCTCTTGAAATGAAAATGAAATAAATACATTCGAATGGCAACAATTTTTATTTTAAAGTTTTCAAATGAACAACTTCTAATGCATACTTGAAAATCTTATTTATTCAATATACTGTAGCGAGGGAGACGACTTTTCTCGGCAAAATCAGGATGTTTGTGATATGAAAAAATATTTAAACTCGTCACTTTACTTGTTCATATCAATGGAAACCATTTCAAAAGTCCTTATCTTTCTTAGGATTCGTAACATTGTACTTTTAAATTTCATTCTCTTGCAAACATTTTTTTGAAATGGTTTGACATGAATGGAAAGTTGTGTGATGAGTGACTATGGTTAACGATACGATCACAGCACGCACGACTTGCTTATGAAGTTTGTCAACAGCAAAATGACATAATGATATCATTTTAGCAGATAAAAACATGAAATTATGCAGAAAACTCAAAAGCGTTTAAATTCAAGTACCTACATCATATTTTGGAATCACAATAAAACTAAAAAAAGATTGAACAATAAAATTAAAGACGTCACAACTATGAAAAAGTCTTAATTAACTTTGGTATATTTTGTGTCTATTAAGAATCGCTTCAGTTGAAGTTTAATGAAGATGAATACGAAGTATGGATAAAATCAAGTCAAACAATTCAAACTGTTATCGAAGGGAGAAAAAAATTCAACCCACTGTCTGAAATTAAGGATGTCTTTGCCCTGATGATAATTCAGTTCATTATTTTCATTCATTAGGTTCTTTGGCAATATGTGAGTTTAGTAAACAATGAAGCGATGTTTGTCAAACAAATTAAAAGGCGATTTCTTTACTTATATGCATTTCAATAACAATCTCCCTTGAAATTTCTGTTGAACGTGATATTTCTATAGATTTTTTATTAAAGAAAATTTCTCCATTTAGTTCATCAAGGCCAATATTTTTAAAGCTAATTCTCACAAAATCTTTATAGAAACAGATACATTATGCACCTACATACCATAATAGAACAAAATTGTCTAACGACAGTGTTGATAATGGTATGAATATTGTAACACTGTTTGGTTAATCAGGCGTGAAAGTGACATGCATAGAACGATTTCGAATAATGATGGAAATTTGCTTAACATATAAAATATCAAATATTTAGGTATACAGGGACGGTACTTAGAAGGAGATTACATAAAAATCTACGAAACGACAAAACTGTTTGTTGTGAATTCATGTGGAGAGTGAATCAATAAAAATAAGAGATACTGATGTCGATAAAAAGATAAGAGAGATCAAAACACTACCACTCATAATCTTATTTTATTAATCTATCTCCTCCGCTACTGTTCACAATTCTATTTCCTTTTTGTTTGATAAAAGTTTAAATATGAATGAGTAATTTTTCTACTTCGCTTATAAATCCCCTTTTTGCGTCAACAAAGACTTATATTTGATTTGTAAATAAAACCCGAAGAAAAAAGGCAAAGAATTGTACAAGTTAAATTGACCGATCGGCAGTGCCAATCGATGTGTCCGAATGTGTGTACAATTCGATCGATTCTATCCCTTGCCATTTCTTTTGATTAGCTTCATGTTTCTTCTACATCAATATTATTTCTATTCTAGCACTGAACGATTTCTATCTTATGAAGAAATAATGACATTATGCCATGTTAAATGAAGTTGTTAAACATTTTCTTTGTCAATCAACAGATTGAAATTTTGTCAATCAATCGATTTTTTTAATAATTCCCTTAAAATGATGAAAAGGAAGAAAAGAGAAACAAATTTCAATACCTGGCTGTCTAAAATGTGAATGTGAGTCCAATGATGATTTTCCGACGCTAACTGTTGTCAATGTATTCGTTGGATATGCTGAAAGGATACGAGAGAATAGACAGTTTTTCATAAAATAATTCTTTCTATAATTTTGTTCAACAAAAAGTTTGATTTTTATCATGCATGAGAAATCAAAAGAAAACTTTGTTGTCGCTTATTTGAAGGCAGTACAAAATGCGGCCAAAAGAACAACACAAAAAAATAAACATGTGATTGAAAAAATCACACTTCGTTAGTCTCGTTTAGAAGGCGATGAAAGAGATTTCTGATATCTGAGTCTGCAAACACTTTTTCAAATAACATTTTCATTGCTAAATTATCGCTTTAAGGCATTTTTTGGCATTTGCTTTGTTGTTTGTGAAATTTTATTTTTCTCGAGGCATTTTCACAAAATATTTTCAAGATCATTCCAATAATAAGCTTCACCCTAATCATCTCAAAGCCTGAAGATATTTTAAAAATCTTCTTCTTATTTTAAATACATTTAGTATCTATCAAAAGTGTCATAGTTATCTGGAAAATAAATATTTATAAAAGGAAGCTAATAGCGCGAAAAATCAAAGAAACAAGAGTGATTAAAGCCTCAAACTATGTAAACCCCATTAAGAGTATAAAGAAAATGGAATTTTGATTGTGATGACAACAATGACAAAGCATAAAATAAATTTTGTGATAATAAGCTTCATCTTTACTTGAATAAATTTTATACAGATACATTATAGACATTAGATTCAATGGTTGGACGCATAACGGGCGATTATATCAGGTTAAAGCTGTGCTGAAACATAATAGCCCAATGCAACATGATTGCAAACCGATCTCTTAAGAAGAAACTCGTCCTATGCCTGATTATGATGATGATGTTATAGTGAATATTCAGTTCTGACTGTACAAAGAAATTTCTTTTACATTTTAATTCGTTTTTATATTGAATTGGACTTGAACCAAAACTTCTCACTTTCGATGGTAATAACTTAATAATCCAAAATATTTTAAATTAATTCTGATATTGCTCTCAGATTGAGATATTTAAAAAACGAGAAACAGCTAACTTCAAAAATATCTACAATGTTATTGTGAGTTATAAATCAGATCATACAAACCTGGTGTTTGCGAAGTATGAGCACCCCATGATGATTTGTAGGAAGAGTCTAAAGAAAAGGTGAGAACATAAAAATTAAAGACCAAAATTGAGTGATAAACATTATATTAATAAATACATATTCTATTATTTTAGATAAAAATACTGTCGAGCTATTGCCTTTCCATCTCTTGATTTCAAATTTCTTTAATTTTTGATTAAATATTAAAAGATTTAATATATCTAATACAAATAAATCATCATAATTATAAGTAGTAGAAAGAATAGAGAAGTAACAAGAAACTATTGAAAATTGAAGTTGAATCCTTCATCAGATATTCACCTGCAAAAAGCATTGAAATATTATTAAACGTCCCAGTTGTTCGATCACGTAAATAATCAGTTGATGAGTTTTTAATGTCAATCATTTTGATTTATTTCTATTTGTTTAATAATTTTAACATATCTCCTCGCCTATTAATAGACGCTTTTATATTGCGACAGATACTTTAATTCTCCTAAATATCTGTTATTTATTTTGAGACACACTTTAAATTTTATTTTTAATATTTTTCTGCATATTTTTTATCTTTAAACTGAATTCTCTGTCTTTTCAAAGTGAAGGTCTTCATAACGAGTCGGAACGAAGCCACAATTATCTGAATAACTACCTCAAAGAAAAATCACATCAATATCTAATTTTTAAATATCATCTTGATATTTTTATGCTTAATTCCATTAAACTTAACAGGAACCATTACAATGATACTGATACTTTACGGAAGTTGAACCGTGTTGTCCAACGGTGGACACTGATTTAATGTAACTTTCTTAAATATTTCGTTTTATTATTTGTTGCTTCTTCTTTCTTATATTCTAAAGATTATTTCTCAAAAATCATTTGCATCCGTTTTTTTTCTAAAATGATGAATGTATGCAAATCATTAAATATCTTTTAGAACTCAAATCACTTTTTATCACTATCTTTCAAAATATCGCTTTTTGATATTATTGATGTTTTCACGGCCTTTGCACTTGTCAGTAAACGTAAAACGTCTGATGAACACCATGAAGTTCGATAAATTTTCAAGAGATTTTTCCTTTTACCCTCGACGGAGGTTTTTGTGTAATCAAATATATCCTGAAAAATTTATTAAACTATCCGCTTACAGTTCAACGTTGAGTTGAGACCGGATAATACTTAAACTTTATACATATTGTTCCATTATACAGTAACGGATTTTCTATATTTGCCAGCAAATTTTTTATTTCAACTTTTCATGTTGTATTTACGAAGCAGCACCAACACTATGTTTTGTTCAACCCTTAGCGACAGCCAATGATAACATGGTAGGTGTGTTTCAACACACAAGCAAAATAAAAGATATATGAAAGAAAATTTATCTTACATGTAATTTTGTCAATGTGTTAAATTGTGGAAATCCTATAGGAAAGAGACAGATGCATAAACCCGTAGAACCACTTCCTTTTCCTTTTCACGTAAGGATATTTGTCATTATACCGTTTCGGTTGAGGATATGTTTTTCTTAATCCAACTGAAAATGGACTAAGTAGAAAAAAATTGGAAAGATCTATGACTCTCAGATACGAGAAAAATAGAAAAGTTTATCCCAAACGCAACAAATGAGACATTCTAAGATTTTATGAATCTATTTTTATCACATACATTTCAACTTTTATTTATCACACATTTTTACTTCCATCAAATTTTTTCTTAGATTATGTATTCTAGATATTGAATTATTTTTAAAGAAATCAATGGAGAAAAAAATACACAAGTATTTGAGATTTGGTTTGAATAAAAAAAAATTTACGTTTTAATTGCTCACATAAGTAATTCATGTTCATTCAATATATTTTAGACATAAAAAAACTATGATGTAATTTTTAAAACCCATCAAATTTAGTGTTTTGTAAACATCAATTAAGTCTTTCCATTTTTTCCAAACTTTTT